TCCGAGAATTACATGGTTGAATCGGGTTCACCGTTCACTATACAAAGTATAATTGTATGGTTCGATCACAAAGAAAGGGTAATTGTTTATGTCTCTAGAGACAATTTCAAAAATTACAGGATGCAACGCCACTATTTTATTTATCGGATATTTTAGTTTTTCACAAAAAACTAAAAATAATTATGTCGAGTTTTCATAAATCACAACGAACAAACCCTTATTTTACTAATTTACGTAGGGTTTCGTACTATTTTTGTTTCCAATATCAACATTTTTGCGTTATTCGACCTATTAGTTTTATATAAATTTTCAAATATAAAAATAGAATTGATGATAAAAGTATTACACAAAAAAATTCGATAAGTGTATGGGCGGGTTGGGTTAAGTCGAGCCTAAAACGCCATTGCACAAGCTTGGTCCACTCATTGAATGGGTTTGCTTTTTGGGCCAAAGCCCGCCCACTGGCCCAAAAAACTGCCAAACCTACTCATTTTATGAGTGAATCGCCCCATCCATTGATCACCTCTACTGAAAAAATAGATCTGTTTGCAATTGATTTTTGGTATATGATTAGCAGCTCAATTTTGTGCCTCGTAAGCCTAATTTATAAAGCTAGAAGACAATAGTATTCTTTTTATGTAAACTGTGTTGTCCGATGAAAAGGATCTCGGACGATGTAGAATTGCGAATTTAGTGACAAAAGTTAAAATAAGGTATTGAAAACGATTTAAATTTGCTTCATTTACAAGCTAGTTCCCCCACGAGTTTTGACTAAGGCCTGAAGTCCCTTTGGAAACTGACAATGCACTCAAAAATTGAATTGTCCATATAAAATCATAATTTTGTCAAAGTTGGATCACCAAAAAATGGGCTAAAAAACACAAAAATAATACTTTGCTATTGTGCATCACTCCCGCAATTCATGCCGTTGACTTTTGGCAATCAATGCCATGGAAGACATTAATGAAGTTTGACCCTTTCTTTATCCACACATATCCAAATCAAATTTATTAATAAGAAAAATGGTTAATATCACAAAAAATCCAAATCGATACACTTGTGATAAATTTACCCCAAAATAATTTTTTGATCATCAAAAACCCTAAACTTGTACAACCGTGACAAATCTACCACCAAAAACCTAAAATTCATATATTTATGACAAATTTACCCTCTCCTCCTTTAGTTTCCGTTAAATTTGATTAATACATAAGAAAAATCACAAACTTGTACACCTGTGATAAACAGAGGATAAAACTCAAAACTGGTACACCCGTTAACTATCACGTGTCATCCAACTCAGCACTTTGACGGTAAAATTTAACGAAAATTAACAGAGAGTAAATTTATCACAGTTATATTAACCCTAAAAAAAAAATAGCCCAATCAAATTTAGTTCGTTTCAACGCATTGAGTGTCTTTTCATCAACGTTGGTCTACGAGGTATAGCCACGTGTCATGGGACGACGTGTAACTTTTGCACCAATGAAGGTCAAACCCATGTGAACTAATTATTGACTAATCATCGAAATCGAGGCACGTGTAAGGGGGTGTGAGTGAAGATATGTTGACGTCATTATCCGACGAAACGTGTCTCCTCCACGTTTGGTGATAGAAAATAATAGGAAAAATGATCGAAATGGCACATGAATTTTGGCCAAATATGTAATATAGTCCAAGAACTTTTAATTTATTTGATATAGTCCCTAAACTTTCACCTAATATGCAATGTGATCCTTAAACTTTTAATTTGTTCAATGTGGTCCATAAACTTTTGGTATATGTTCAATTTAGTCTCTAGATTATATGAAAACGATCAATGTTATCCCCGATCTTGAATTAATGGAAGGATAATATTACACATTTTCATATAGTTTAGTAACTATATTGAACATGTATCAAAAGTCCATGAACCACGTTGAACATATTAAAAGGTTAAGAATCACATTGCACATTAAGCTAAAGTTTATGAACTACATTGAACAAATTAAAAGTTCAGAGATCACATTGCACATTGGGCCAAAGTTTATGGACTATATGTGTCATTATTCCAAAATAATAATATTTGGCTCTATTTATTTCACGGAAAATGAATGATTTGAAAAATATTTTCTACAAAATGATCGTTTGCATCGCTTAAAATTATTAGTTTATGAAAAATATTTTCATCATCAACGACAATCATGTCCAAACATTTCATAAACAATGAAAATATTTTGCGTTTACTCATTTTCGTAAGTAATACAAGCGATCGATTTTCATCATTCATTTTTCACGAAATGAATAAAGCCTTAATGTTGCCAAGATTGAAATAATAAAGTAGGGATCCACTTTAGTCAATTGAAATCACTCGATTTTGATTTTGGATCTCATTACTTACCATTCTCCAATCAAACATTTAGATGAAGTTGGTTCATATAAAAAGCTTGTTTCCCTTAAGCTTGTGTAAGTTGGTCTATATTATTAATAGCATAATATTTTTTTTAATCAAGTGCTTGAATATACTTTATTTATTTAACTACCCATTTAAAAATTTCGGCTTTGCTTTCCAAATCATTCATCTAGATTGGATTTAAGCAGCGATTTTTCCTGGGATCTTTCAATTTGGAGGGGCTCGGTCACTTGTTAAACATGTTTAATAAGAAATATCAATTGCACATGTCCCGAACAAATTACTGCATCCAAAAAACGAATGTTGAAAATATTGATTGCACATGACACGGTACCTTTCTTCTCTCCTCCTCCCCGCTTCTCTCTCGCTTTCTCTCTCATGAATAGTTAAGAATTAGCTTAATGAATAAGTACGAACTTATGGGTGTGTATTGTAGGGGTGTGCAAATGACTCGGAAACTGCCCGGACCGCTTGGAATCGGACCTAACTAACTCGGAACAAAAAGGATCCCGGTTCTAATTTATTAGAATATATGAGTACCGGTCTAGTTCCCGATTTTAGATATGGAACCGTCCATCCGCCCATCCGGATTAAAACGGTAATATATATAATTTTTTTAAAAAAAATTTCAACAAAAAAATAGAAAATTTTTTAAGAAAAATGAAAACCTTAAAATCCCTAATTTGAAGTTCAATGCCCATCGTATTCGTCTTATCTCACTTTCACCTTGTCTGAATCGTCTCTCTATCTCTCACTTATGGCCTCGACTCTCAAGCTCAACACCTCACAGCCTCGATTCTTAACTCACGGCCACGCTTCCGGCCATTCATCACCTCCCTCGCTCGCTCTTGGTCACCTCAATTTGCATGAAGCTTGATAGGACCGACTCCATCGACCCACCCGGGAACCGGACCGGCGTTTCGATTCTCGAGTGGATCCATGAAACCAATGAGTGATTTCCGGTTCTAATTTTTCGGAACCGATATTTAGTATACGGTTCCCGATTCTATAGTGGGAACCGCCCATCCGGACCATGCTCACCCCTAGCATATTGCACATTTCTACATCATCAAATGGAAATTTTCGACAAAAAGAAAAAGGAAGTAAACTTCCTTAAGACTTTTACTTTAGTTCTATAATTTTTAATCGATCATAAATTTCGTATGGCAATCACTTGGTTCCCGTAACTTTTCAATTGATCACTCGAGATGTCACAATTTTAAAAAAAACATTCACGACAGACGCCAGCCACTTCGGATTTCCATCATTCGTGGTAAACGTCTTGGAAAAGTCACGGCTCTCAAGCGGCTATCTTTTAAAAGTCACGACATTTAAGTAACCAATTAAAAAGTTTTCACACACTTAAGTGATTACGATATTTTGTGATTACCTTATCTTGCTCGCATCGTGCCTAGTCCAAGCAAATATCGTTGTCTTTTACTCGCTTTGATAGAATTTCTCAAGTCACGAAAACGACCGGTTAAGTATGTGGTCGAGGCATCTACCCCTTGTGACATCAAATTCAATTTAAATTGCACCCCACACCTAGAATGATATAATAATATTATACACCTAATCATGTGAATCAAATAGATCACAAGTGTCCCCCGGAAAAAAAAAAGAAAAAAAGAAAAAAAAAAAGAAGAAGAAAAAACAACCGACCAAACGTCTCGATCCAATGTACTCGGGTCAATCACAATCAGACGGCGATCACGACCCGAGGTAATCACGATCAACGGACAGCACCTGGAGCCCGCGCCATCGCCCCATCACGATCAACGGACAGCACCTGGAGTCCGCGCCATCGCCCGCCACGTGCGCGTCCGCACCGTAGCCCACCCTCGTCCCAGCTCGTCATTCTCACTCGTTCACGCAGCCCCGATTCTCCACGCAAGCGCCCTGCACAGCTAATACATGATTTAAAAAATTAACTCGCAATCTAATTTCCCAATCTCGTCAGATTCACCTAAATCTTAGGGTAAAATGACATAAACGGGCTAATGTGATCCATGAACTTTAAATTTGTTCAATGTTATTCCTGAATTTTAACCCAAATGTGCAATATTATCCACGAAACTTTAATTTGTTCAATGTGGTCCATAAAATATCGGTACGTATTCAATTTAATCCTGGACTGTATGGAAAAATATTTAATATTGTCCTTCCATTAATTTAAGCTCACAGACAACATTGAGCATTTCCATACTATCAAGGGACTGAATTGGGTAGGGGCTACATTGAACAAATTATAAGTTCAGGGACGACATTGCAGATCTGTCCAAAGTTCAAGGCCCACATTTCACGTCTGGCTTGAATACATACCAGAAAGTTTATGGACCACGTTGAACAAAGTCTAAGTTCAGGGACGACATTGCAGATTGGGCCAAAGTTCAGGAACGATACTGCACATCGAGCCAGAGTTTAAGGACCACGTTACCTGTTTGCCAAAAGTTCGGGGGTCATTTGGGTTATCATCTCTAAATCTCGTTTTAAATAATTAAATTAATAATAAGAATAATTATAACAATAACAAAACAATAGCAACTTAGAATAATAATAATAATAATAGGGAGAAGACAAGGAAGAGCTCCATTCACGCAGACGACCATGGCATGAAACCAGAAGCGCTCTCTCTCTCTCTCTCTCTCTCTCTCTCTCCTCTCGCCAGATACACAGAGCAGCAGAGCACGTTCCCGTTGAAAAACCCTAGAGCGCGCTTCGTCCCTCCGGCCCCTGCCTTGCTCCTCAAGCGTCGAATCCAATCGTCGCCGATCCCCGCCGCCGTCTCGCGGTGGTGGTGGTGGTGGTGGTGGTGGTGGTGGTGGGGAAGCCCGTCGGGGTACCGGAAGAGATCCCGGAGTTGAAGCGGCCGGTCGGTCGGGCTTTTCGTCGTCCTCCGTTGCGATTTTTTGATGAGGAGGCTGCATCGGCGCCTGAGGATCCTGATCCTCTCCCTCTTCTCCGTCTCCGTCTTGGCCCCCGTTCTCCTCGTCTCCTTCAGGCTCAAGCACATTTCCGCCACAGGTACGTGGCTGGCTATCGTGGGAGATGGGCATTGGTCCTGGTTGCCGATCTTAGTTTCGGGCTGTTTGGTTTTTTGTTTTCTGATGCGAGGACTGATCGTGGGTTGTTTTTTGTTTGAATCTGTTGTTGCAGGACGCAAGGAGTTTCTGGAGGAGTTCTCCAATAGGGTATGAATCTCGTGACTCTCTGTTAAAAGTTTTGTCTTTTGCTTGTTTGCTTTTATTTTGTTTTGTTTTGTTTGGGTGTTGGTTGATTATCAGAGAAAAGAAGTTTGTCTTGTGGGTTGGTCATACGAACAGAGTAAAGTTCATGTCTGAGGTGGTTTTGCAATTGAAACTTACTGCAAAAAAAAAAAGGCTCATGTTGATTTGCAATGTACCGCGATTCCGTGTATGGACATGGAGTTGCGGGTTTTTTTTATGCGGCCGTGAAGATTGTTTTTTCTGTACCTGATTTTTGAGATTCATTTTGATTCTCTCGTGCAGAAATTTAGTGCGGATGTTTGGAGACTTAATTCAGTCGATCAGGTATGAGTAAAAAGTTATTTGTACGGGCTGCATCGAAGCGCCTAATGTGATTTTGGTCAGTGGTTAATGCATACGGGATTGGGATTGCTTTCTCTCTTTTAGGAAGAGGGCGAGGGCTTGAAAGAGCCGAAACAGGTAATTTATGAAGACAATGAAGTTGGTTCCATGGTCAGCTATACTTATAATAAGGTCCATCAGTCTGCAGAGTCCAGAGGCGCTGCAGAAAGAACTCAAATCTTGGAAAGAAATGGTTGGTGTATCTTTCTTCTGTTCTTTTTTTTTTTTATCTTGACCCAAAGCTGATCTCTGATTATGGCTGCCTCGAAATTAGGAACTACACGCAGAAGTGCTAAGGAAGATGAGCAAATTCAGCATCATGAAGTTCCATCCACATCCAGAGGACAGGTACCCTTTAACAGATGAAAGAAGCTACTAATCACAGTTTTGGTTTATTTCTGGTTAACATGATGGGAGCTAGGAATGACACTCTGGTTGGAACCTGTAATACGCTAGTAGCTATTGGGAATAGAATACAGTTCGAAGCAGGGCTTTGATCTGCGTAGGGTGTACTGACATTATTCAACAATCTAGCTTTATGGATTCACTGATTTCTACCTTATTAGGTTGATTTGTTTGCAAGCAAAGGATCTTCTACTTTGGTTGACACCTACTTTAATCACGGGCTTAGGTCATTCGGAATTTTTACTCTGGAGGTATTTTTTAGGGTTCTCAGATTGATGCTAGTGAAGTAATCATTCTCGCAATTTATTTGTCCTATTAGCATTTTGCTAATCTCAAGATTTGGTGGATGTATTGCCATCCTATGTAGTGTTTCTTTCAGCCTTCCATGAGCAATATTCAATTGGTGTCTTAAGGGGTTGACTTTGGTTATTATCTGTTTAAATAAAAAAACGTGCTTTCTTGTGGTCAACTTTTATTTCACCATCAAATGGTTAACTTGCAACATGATTACAACTACAATTATTATCTGGTAATTTCTGGTGGTCATCATGGTCTGTCGTTTTAAACTGAGATAGCTGGTTTGAGATGAGAGTTCACTTTTTCTATTGATATGACAATGTTGAGGTACAAGACTTTGAGCTATTTTTACATGACATCAGGCACGTGTGAATAGCTATTACCTGCTGCATGTTGGATCATAAGACAGCATCTGGGGTCCATCTGCTTCGATTATCAGAACATAGGATATGAAGTTCACTAGAATAAAGGGAGACTGAAATTGAACTGATAACTGTGTTATGTTCTCCTTGGCAGAAGCCAGAAGCAAGGGGAGGAGTGTTAGGGCCTTGCGTTAGATAAATTGCTCTATAGAAATATGAGGAATCCCACCATTGTTATAATGTGCTTGGCTGACTGTTAGAAAGGTAACAAAAAAACAATGATTTTATGGTGAGAAGTACACCAGTAACTAGTCTTCCTCAGAGAATGGGGCGGATGGTGTGACATTAATTTGTATTGCAATGCCACTCGCTGTAAAATTGTGTCCTTGTCACTTGGAGAGTGTCAACCCATTTATGGCTCTGTGTTTTTTTTTTCTAGAGTAAAATGGATTTCCTGTGGTTTTGAGAGCTTTGCCTATTCACCTGGGAATGAAACCTTATCCATTACGATCAAGAATAATGCGAGCTTCACTTGACTTTTCTATTCTTGTGTCCTCTGACTCCGTTGTTGCTTCTTTTTCCTCTTGTGGTTGTTTCGCAATGCCTGCGAATCTGGGAATGATAGAACTAGTAAATATGTTCCCTCCTGTCAACATAATTGTCTAGGAGCCGTGTTTCAACTATATGAGACGTTAACGGTCATTTGTTTCCAGGGTCATCTTCTAGTTTCTTATCACTGGTTTTCCACTTGTATGATTGCTTTTCACTGGGATCGCTTGTCAGTCATTGACCTGGCCTTTTGCCATGTTCTGTTAACCACTAAAATGGAGACGAGCTTTTCTTTACTTGCTCTGTTTTCCAGAAACCAATTATATCATGATGTGTTTTGAAGGCGTAGTATGCACATGTGTTTTTAGATAATATAATTTTAAAATTAACAAAAAACTTGATGTCGATAGTTGTTAACATGAGCACATCCTGTTATCGAAGCACAATGGAGCATTAAACTGCGGAAATGATACGTGATACTCCCTTTCGCTTTAACGTGGTACAACTGAAGGTAGTTTTATCGTGCCTTCATATAAAAAAAATGTATCATCTGCAATTTTTCCATTAATTGCAGGAGAAATTCGATCAAACTATGGTCCACCGAGTTCAGAGGGGACAGCCTCAGGAGCAAAGTTTGTCAGATAAAAAGGTGAAAGAGATGAAAGATCAGCTGATTAGAGCAAAAGTATACTTGAACTTTGCACCACCAGGTAGTAACTCACATATTGTGAAAGAGCTGAGACAGCGGATGAAAGAGTTGGAAAGAGCAATCGGTGATGCCAAGAAGGATTCTGATTTATCTAGGAGGTTCAGCCACTCTTATTATTCCCTATGCTGATTAGTGATCTACCTATTGAACTGTATTCCTCTTGGAAAGTTGGTTTCTTCGAATATGAATGAAATCTCCAAAACTCTGATCGCTACTCTTAGGTCATTGCTTGCTGGTGTCAATAATATTGATAACAATAGAGAGAATATAAGATACCTTGTATGCTCCGATCTTTTCCTCTTAAAGGAGTTGTTTAATCCTTCTTCTTTATTCATGATGCTATTTCTGCGAAATTGCAGAGCTTGGCAGAGAACAAAAATCATGGAAGTTTCCTTGTCCAAAGCCAGTCGTGCCTTTCCAGACTGTTCATCCATGGCCATAAAGCTCCGTGCTATGACTTACAACACTGAAGAGCAGGTTCGGGCGCATAAGAATGAAGCTGAACATCTTATACAGCTTGCTGCAAGGACTACACCAAAAGGTCTTCATTGCCTTGCTATGCGGCTCACTTCAGAGTATTTCACCCTTCCAGCTGATGAGAGAAAGCTTGCTAACCAGGAAAAAGCACGTGATGGAGATCTCTATCACTATGCTGTATTCTCGGACAACATTCTTGCTTGTGCAGTAGTGGTCAACTCAACAGTGGCACATGCTGCGGTAATTGCTTCTGAATTTTTCTTATCTTGGTGGTTTGATTTCTTGTTTCCAGCCTTGATTCTCTATATTTGAGACTTGTTTAGCAATGACCAGACATTAATGAGCATGAGATGATGAGTCTTATTAAAGGTTGAATTCGCTTCATATCTGATAGAGCAAGTGATGGAAGTGCTGGACCATTTGGAAATTCCTTCTTTGTATCTTAGATCTCGTTGATGCTATGTATGAGCTCGTTTTCTAAGTATTAAGAATTTTGGATCACCCTTTCACCATTGGCAAGTCCAAATATAATGAGTAATGTCAGTGATAAAAGAATTATGCTTAAAATTTTAACACAGATAAAATATATGTCGGGATCTCATGTTTTTCTCGAGAGCCTGTCTGTTTGTCTGGGTGATTCTCACCAGCCTTCCCTGGATCTACAATTGCCATCCCTCCCATCTTAAATTCCTCTCATCAAAGTACGACTGTTTTTCTGTTGAGACTGGGGTGGAATATTGTAATTTAGCAATACTGCGCAGTAAAACTATGTACATCTGCCCTAGCCACTGAATAAATCTTTACTCAACTTGGAAACTCCAATCACGCACCAAACCTCTAGAAAATTTCAGCTTTGAGGGGAATATCTAAGACGCCTTGCTACCCAAAGGCCACAGAAAGATTGAAAGGAGTCTCAGCCTGCAGTATCTTATTTGTTTTTCTTTTATCTGACAACAAATCTACCCTTTAGTCACTGACTGAGGGAAAGGAAAGCAGTAACAGTTCAGAGCGCACACAGATCCTTAACTTTTCAAAGCCTGCCCTTGTTTGGTATATTAGATGCTTTGGTTTGTGCATTCTATATTTCCATATTCAAATTCGAGTTTTGTGAGACCAATTGTTAATTAAAAGCTGGCAACCACGGTAGGCTATTTACAAGATGAATTTAAACAAATAAATCAGCTCAAACAGAATAACTGGTATGATTTTACAGAGTGAGTGATGGCATTGTTTTGCACCTTTAATAAATGGATGTCTTTGTTCATATCGTATAGTTAGTTTACTTACTTCGCAAGTACTTGTTTTTATTACCAAGTAAAAGTTGCGGAAGTAATTACATTTCTTCCATCTCACACCTGTAACTGCTCGTAAAAATTGTAGTTTCAGTTTCTGCCCTTGGTGAGGGGAAGTAGTGTATGTGTGTGTACACGACACTGTTTTATGCTATCAACACAGAAGTTGGAGGTAGCTTTCAGTCTTCACAGACATAATAATCTTCCATTCATGACTTGAGTATCATATGGTATTTCTCATAATATTGACTAATATTGAATAACCAATTGAATGACTGTTTTTTCGATCTGTAGTTTGAGGCAGTTTGATCATTTGCTCTACTTGCCACTTCATTGCTGCTTGCTCGACTTCAATCTTTTCATGCACACCCAGGGCATGTTTTGAAAGTTTATTTCTTTTGTTTGGCCGATGAAGAGTTTTTTTAGTTGGCTCTCCGATCTCATGAGTCATGAGCTAATGTCCCACTAATCCCCCACTAATCCTCTAGTGCAATTGCTTGTCAGTTTAGCTGGATTTTACACTTATTCTTGCAGAAGAACAGCGTTGATGATTTAATTCCATGATTTCTTTTTTATGAAAAAGATGCTGGTTGCTCATTGGTCACTTTTTGCAGGAGCCAGAGAAGATCGTGTTCCATGTAGTGACAGATTCCCTCAATTTCCCAGCAATTTCTATGTGGTTTTTGCAAAATCCTCCTGGAAGAGCGATTGTAGATATCCAGAGCTTAGAAAATTTTGAGTGGCTTTTGAAAAAATATGCTTCATCAATGCAGAAGCAGAATGCCCATGACCCTCGATATACTTCTGCACTGAATCATCTACGGTTTTATCTGCCAGATGTTTTCCCTCTGCTGGATAAGATTGTGTTTTTGGACCATGATGTGGTAGTGCAAAGGGATCTTACCGAGCTTTGGGATGTGGATTTGAAGGGAAAAGTAAATGGGGCTGTGGAAACTTGTCAGGAAGGTGATGCTTCATATCGGCGGATGGACATGTACATTGACTTCACAGATCCATTTGTTTCCGAGAGGTTCGATGCCAATACGTGCACATGGGCGTTTGGGATGAACTTGTTTGATTTGCAAGAGTGGAGGAAGCAAAATTTAACTGCAAAATATGGCAGCTACTTGCAGCTGGTATGTGTTCAATGCTAGGTTTCATTTCTTTATCATGTAATAGTATACCTGCTAGTATTCTTTCATTCCTCTAAAATAACTCTAAAAAGCACCGCAACTTATCAAGAGCACCATTTACATGTCATCTCCTTGGACAATGAACGTCTTATTGGTCTGAGTTTGTGCTAACTAATTACGTCAATCCCCCAGGAAATAGTAAGGAGAAAGAGACTGATAGAAAGGGAAGGATGAGAAAGACTAGTGTATTTTCTTTAATTCGTATATTTAATTGTCCGCATTGGGTGATTTTCCAATATGAATTGCCTGTGCTGAAACTTCTGTTAAGGATGGTGAAGCATAAATGACATTAAGGATGTCAAATATAAAAAGAAGTGATTGTAATTTGTTAATTCTTGTTTGCACTTTCCTTGATGTCTTATTATTTCGTCCTCGTATTCCTCTCTTCTAATTTTAGATTTCCTTTTAAGTGGATGCAATTGTATGGTGTTGATTTAATTGCACTAGGGTTTACCAAGTATCTTAAACTTCCTTCCCCAGGCATATGATTTTGATAAGAAAACTGGGGAGGCTGTATGGGGATCGCATTATTTGGCATGTCCTGCTCACTATATCTGTGACAACGGCCCTTCTTATGTCTGAAATGATTTGAATTGGACATTTTAAGAACTCAATTTCTGTGGTGCTAGTTGCAGGAGCATGGGAAGCCATTGTGGAAGGCTGGCAGTTTACCGATAGGCTGGCTCACCTTTTACAACCAGACAGTAGCTCTGGACAGGAGATGGCACATCCTTGGCCTAGGTCATGAGTCGAATGTCGCGCTGAGCGACATTGACCGTGCAGCAGTTATACACTTTAATGGTGTCATGAAGCCGTGGTTGGAAATCGGGATCAGGAAGTACAAGGGTTACTGGACCAAGCATGTCATTTTTTACCACCCTTACTTGCAACAGTGCAACGTCCACGAGTAGTCCCGGCCACTTGAGTATTCTTAAACCACATGGCGCACCCGTTGGCACTTGATTATTCTTCAAGAACAAAGGAAGCTTTGATTCTTTCAATCTCTTACAAATTTTTGTGTAAATTACCTTCCATTCTTTCGAAGAGAACTATCCGGCCATAATTACCATTGGAGCAGAGGTTAACTTAGTTCAATAAGAATCCCCCCACACCTTCCTACCCCCCAAGCAGATTTTTGTAATGCTCTTTAGTTCTTGGATGTACATAAAACTCATCTCAGATAATTAAGGCTTCTTAATTCTCGGCCGAATGTCTGGTCTAAGCTGTACTTATAGCATCATCGTGCTTTTTGGGTGCCGATGCCACCAATTGATCTTGGTCAGGCGCCGAAACTTTCTCTCCGGTTAACTTACGTCCATGAGTTCTCTTCGCAGACTCCACATTCTATTTAGGGGTGTCAATGGGTCGGGTCGGGCTTTCATGATACCCTACTTGACCCAAAATCAATAGGGTTGTGCTTGGCCCACCCAGACCCGGCCCAAGACCCTGTTCAGCATATCCCGCAAGATCCGGGTCGGGTCGGGTTAGGCCGGGTCAGGTTTCAGGTTCGTCATTCAATTACAACCTTTCCGGTTTTTTCATCCTTCTCCAACTCCATGCTTCTCTGAACATCGGCTTCATTGGGCCCCAACACCGAAATCGGCTTTGTAACCCCGAATTGCCTCGCCACCATCGCCATCGCCGGCACGGGGGGCGGCGACTCCCTCAATCCCTCTGAACTCACCATCCGAGACGAATCAAATCAAAACGCAAAAGCAAAAGGCAGAGCCTAAATCGGGTAAAGAACCGTCCCAATCGACGAAAAGAGATGTCCCAAAATAGTAAAAGGTCTCTGCTTTCTCCCCTGAAGAACAACACCACCCACACCAAAAGGGAAATCCACAACCGGAGGATTCAATCGACGATCGCAGGGACGCCGGAGCCGAGGCCTGATCGGAGGAACGGCAAGGGAGCGGGCGAGCAAAGGCGCTGACTTTCCGGTCCCATCGGGAGGAGCGGATGAAAGGAAATCGAAACCCTAATCGAATCGAATCTGATCAAATCGGGATGCGCCGGAGGAAGGAGGGGGGGGGGGGGAAACGAATCTCGCCACGAATTCAAGAGGAGAATGCGAAGGAAAAGAGCATCCCTCAAGCCCTAGATCATGTAGTAGAAGAAGGAGATATAGAAGAGAGAGAAAGAGAAGAGAGAGAAAGTTTTGATTTTCCTGAGTTGAGGAGAGAGACGGAGATGTGTGGTCTGTGGCCCATGGGTGGTTTTGTGGTGTCAATGGATTGGGCCCAACCCTATCCAAACTTAGTAATACCCATACCTAAAAATCCTATCCAAAGTAGACAACAGTCACAACACCCAACCCCAAAATAACCCAAATTTTAGGGCCAGGTCGGGCCGGCGGGGGTCGGGCCGGGCCAGTGTGGGCTTTTTGGACACACGCGATTCTATTAGCCCGCATTCTGTTTGAGACATTGTTCATGAATTGACAATCCTTTCAATTAATGGACCCAATCTATCCCTCGGCAGCAGTGCATGATGCTTTAGTTGCTGGACCTCTTGGGCTTCGAATAGTTCATCATCCTCTCTCATTTTTTTTTTTGGAGGAAAATGACACAAATAGTATATCAACTTTAACCCAATGTGTAATATGGTCCATGAATTTTTAATTTATTCAATGTAGTCTTTGAACTTTTGATACATATTCAATTTAGTCCCTGAACTATATGAAAATGTTCAATGTAGTCCTTTATCATGGATTACGTTGAACATTTTCATATATTTTAGAGATTATATTGAATATGTATCAAAAATTCATAGACTACATTATACATTTAGCTAAAAGTCAGAGACTATTTATATAATTATCCGTCTTTCGGGGGTTTCTCTCCAGAGAAGTCAGGTCTGCTTGCTAAGAGCTGTAGTGGCTCTAAACGGATGATGTGACACGTGGACAAATTGGGTTGGGCAGGTGCGGATAAAGGATATCAAATGAGGGGCTTTCCTGCTATCCATGCTCCTGTGGTGGCTTCTCGTTTTTATGCAAAATCCTCTTCTCATCAAGCCTCTCCATCAAATAAACCGTTCTCACTTGCCAATCACACCCAACACATCCCTTTGGAGAGAGAGAGAGAGAGGGAGAGAGAGGAGAGAGATGGCCACCATCACTGCAAGCTCTGCAACCTCCATGGTCTCATGCAGAGGTCTCTCTCAGAAGAGACCTCTTGGGGTTTCATCCTCCCCTGTTCTTGGTAACTACCCATCTCTCCTTTTTCTGTCTTTGACCATTTCTTTTGGGGTAAGTTTTGAGAGGTGTTCTCACTGATTGATTCACTTGGTCAGCTGGTTGATTTCACCATCTGATTGGTAAATAACTCTAATGAGATAGATTCAATTAGACCACCTAGGCTACGTTTCACTTCCTACTAAATTAAGTCATTGCTTGCAGCTATTATCTTACCTTCATTCAACTGCAGTCTGCAATCAATTCTTCAATAGTAGAGTCCTATTGCTTCAATATGGAAAGAGAAATGTACTCATAAGATGAGCCAAACCGACGCTCTGAATCTGAATCCTTTTTTTCAACAATTACTATGGCCACAGGGTTGCCTGCAATTGCTATGAAGGGAAGAGTCCAGTGTTCCGCAGATGGGAAGCCCTCAGAGCCGGAGAAAGCCTCGAGCGTGGGCATGAGTGCGTCGCTGGTCGCGGCCCTGTGCGCGGCGACCATGTCAGGCCCGGCCATGTCTCTGGTGGACGACAGGATGAGCACCGAAGGGACGGGGCTCCCGTTCGGGTTGAGCAACAACCTGCTCGGATGGATCCTGTTGGGTGTGTTTGGGCTCATCTGGGCTCTCTACATCATCTACGCCTCGAGCCTTGAAGAGGATGAAGAATCAGGATTGTCTCTCTGAATCTTCAATGAGAGTATCATTCAGGGGAATGTAAAATCCACAGAGACTGTTCACTCCAATGTGCCTGTAGCATGAACTACTCTTTGCTTGTGAAATCTTATGTGTATCTGTATAATTAACGGTTCGTCGGCTTTCGTTAATATTCTTCTCTTTCGAATCATTTGACCCTATATTACTACGTAACCCTGAGGTTAGCCATTCGTGTAGGTTAAGCGATTCTTCAGCAATTTCAAATCGTTTCAAGCTTTCCAAAGTTCGTGGGCAGCGAGATGAGACATGGTTCTATACATTCTTTTTAACCCTCGGTCAATTCCAGGACACATTATCAACGACAGGGGTAAATTTCTCCATCCGATAAAGAACCATCGCATTACGGAATAGGCAAACTGAATTCCGAGGTCATTTGAGTTCCATAGATTCCAATGTCTGCCGGAGAAGGGTTTGTTCTACTTAGTTTTCCAGCATAGCTTTAGAAAACAGCCGAAGAGAAATTTAACCCGATTCGGCTCGGTTCATTCATGCAATAGAGAATTTACAATCCGTAGGATAGAAAACCGGGAACTACCAAAGCAATCATATCGAAAAGAACAAAGCCAAAGTTATCGAGAAAATCCTGCGCATACTTGATACAGGAAATTCCACCATCGAAAGAGGAAAGCGATAGCTGTGAAAAATTCCACACGCAAGCCTCGTCTATGCAGACAAGAAAAAAGAGCTTTTCTGCGCCCAGAAGAAAGAGTTTGCAAGGGCCAATAGCTGCAGAATTGGACTCCTTTGATCATAACTTAGCTTGCACTTCAAACTCAACATGAGGTGAAATACTGATGGGGGGAGAAGAAAAATCAATGAAGGCAATGGCATTCAACCCAGGACACCAAATATACATGACCAAGTCCGATGCTAGCCTATGCATTAAACCGTAGCATTCCTCCTATAGTTCCTCTCCACAGTCAATACTGACACGACAGACACTTATGTCACAGCCCAGAGATCATTACACCAGAAGGTGCCTATGACCACCAAAACGGAAGACTGATAAGACTTTGGCACATATGACTTCAATTAACTTGTCATTTAATACACATAATAAAGAAATAAGGAACATATACAGGAGATGCTATAGCTAAGTACTCGTTCTGTAGCGAACACAGTCAATCCTGTTATTGACAGATCTGCCTTACCAACCCAAACACATATTCATCATTCCCACCATGAAAGGGGACCCAAACCATCATTATCAAGCGATCCCTGTAAAGTAAAAAGTTTAATAAGTATTAGACCTGCTCGAACAATCCAGTCAGGTTTTAAAGATGAGGAGATAACATAGAAGGTAATTAAGATAACACTTGGGCAATCACATGAAGAGACATCGATCATGGGGGTCATTGGCTTCTTTTGGGATAACATTGCATGAAAGACAGTACTTCATTTCCTAATGAAGTCTGTGTAAGGAATCTAGAGATTGTAGCCATCAGCACTAGACCAGTAATGCCTCAAGAGACAAAAACATAGAAACGAAGCTGTAGAGGCACCAAACATGGTTTATGAAAGAACTCACAGTAATCACCATAGGAGCAAATGGCTTCGCATCTTTTGGTTGTTCCAGTGGAATTGAAGGATAATTTACACTCTGAACTCTGAATCTGATAGTCTGCATTTGATAAGACGTGCTTCTATTTTTACTTTTTCAAATCTATATCACAAAGAAGGAAACTAAGTAGGTTACAAGTAAATTGCTGGAAAATGTGACAAGTTCAGCAATAAATTTAGGAACCAAAGCAACAACCAAACCTCGCCAATCTCATCAATAGGATATAATACTGTGCCCGATGTCTGATCAGCTCCGTTTTCCTCATTTGCATCACGATATTCCCATATCCATCTAAACCGGTTCCTGCAAATTACGTATTGGTTGACCAAAAATGACATTTCCCATAGAAACAATATATGAACGTGCCCACAAAGAGCTTCCTAAGGAACAACTCAAATTTCCAGTAATAATTAACCACAATTTAAAGAAAAGAGAGGCTCTTACCCATTTTCTGAGTCAGGTTCGAAACGGGATGGGTATGGCAAGAGATGAAAGGGTATGTAAATATCATCAAAAAATCCCATAGATACTGCCAATCACAAAAACGGCATTACTGCAAGAGTACCATATAGCTCATAAACAAAAAGGAAAAGAAATTGCCTAACTTGACTATTAGATCACCCATCAATTTCATTAAATTGGTAAACTCTTGCGTGGATTCAAGTATCTACAACTAGAAATCATTACCAATGTAAAGTACCTCACAAAGTGAAGATTACAGAAAACCAAAAGATATACTGCAGAAAAATTGTTAGGAAAGACAAGCTCGTATTTCTATTGCAACAAGAATTAAAAGCTTCAAAAGACAAGAACATGACATGATGGGAGAGAATTCCCGAAAAAATTCAAATAGTTCCAGAACAGAACATTGTGAGAGAGATGATTAAGATTGTGCAATTATGCGAGAGATGATAACTCATAAGAGATGGCAACTCATACAAAGAGAGCATGGAAAAGATAACACGTTGACAAGAACAGGTGAAGATACATCGACCGAAACATTCATCTTCCCAGACATTTCTTCCTTCATTAAGCAACTTAGACACCCCAACTCATCATAACATATGCCAACGCCAGTTTCCATCTACTTAGGTTCCTTTTCACTTTCAAACGCAACCAATTGAAGCCTAAGCTCAATTCTTACCTTTTCTTCCAAGGGTGAGAAAAGTCATTCAAGGTGGATAAACCCTTAGCCCACCAAATATACCACAAACCATGCGAGTCAAAAAAAAAAAGGTTATCTAACACAAGAATTTTTGCACTTAAGAACCGAACCTGTAGGGTGCAACTAAAAAACATGCACAAATCAATTCGTCAAAAACCACAGAGACAACTCAGCAAGGAGAAAAATTGACTCTTGCTTAGCATCCAAAGTCACCAATATCCTACCCTTGAATGAGCTCGATGAGCACTAACTATCACAATGAATGCTAAAACGTGCAACTATAGTCATTTGTAAACACCTTTATAACCCTTAGAAATATAATTTTCACTCTGAGAAAACATCAAATTGGTTTCATCCAGAGGTGAGGTGAGAGACCATGTTCATCCTCAATAATTGATAGTTTAAAAGAGGCAATTACCCAACAAATACCAGAGCTTCCACAAGAAGCTATGCAGTTGCGGCTACTTAGATGTGCACCAATTGCTAATCCATTAATAAAATCCGGTATATGAAAGAGATCCCACACTTAGTCCAAACTACCATGACTAACCCAGTGAACATGCATAGAAAAATTACTTAAAACTTCAAGATGTTTCCCCGCAGTAGTACATCATAGAATGCATTCAAGAAACATCTTCCATCCACAATGAAAAGTTATGACTTGTTTTTGCCACCCTTATCGAAGAAAAGATCAAAGCATAAAACTCTATCAAATCAAAATGAAAGTTAACTTAGTTGATATCACTGTGCAGATTATATAGCATATATTCATCATGCAGACTTTTTTTGTTTGGGCAAAGTCATGCAGACTTCAATAGCCTAATAATCAATCTTCATTTCCCCTGGATAGTAGTTACTAGTTACTGCCCAAACGCATATCCTCACAGGATATAATGCCAGAACGAAACAGCAGCTCTATATTCCCCATAAGACTAGAAAAGAGGCACACACATGCATCTGTTGCTCGTTTGTCAAGAACCACTTTTACACCACTGTGAAAAGGATGACACTGACATTCAGAGGACAGAAGCAAAAGAAGACAAAGTTTAGTATCATGTGCAGATTGAGACATACAGCGCAAACCGTCTTTATCAAATTCTTTGAGTTTCGCATCAATTATTTCCCCAATAAATGGACGGAACACTATCAGTCTGCATTCCACCTACAATGATATCAAAATGACTGTTAATACAGGACTTCAAATGAATAATATTAAATAACTAAAAAGAGGGAACAACAATAGGAGAGCATTGTGTAACAAAAGCAAAATTCACCGAAGTATCCCTTAACATGATATCTTGATAAATTAAATAATTTAAAGAGTCAATGACTCACTTTGCTTCACAAATGTTTCGATAAAAAATAAAGGCACAAGTCTTCATAGATATTACCTTATCAAAGACACTTTGTGCATATCAATACTCTTTCAGGCAATTCGTTTAGAGATGACTCAACTATACAAGCTCTGTGATGATTGACAGATTGGTGGAAGGATAGGAATTTTAACATGAAAAAGTGTTGCCTAAGCCACTGAACTTAAACTTCTGTTTTTTCCCTTTGGGTGGGGGAGGGGTGTCGGGACAGGGATGTTCCAATAGTTGTCTAATCAAAGTTTACTCCACTAAAAGATGTGGGTAATCTTGGTAGTTCTATTAGATTCCATTTGATTCCAATAAAAGCGACTAGGACCGCGAAGATAGCACTGTCTTTTGCAAATTTTAGGATTTTTTCAGTTATCAAGGAATACGTTATTGGTGGATTGTTTTTCCTTGCTCTGCTAAATGCAAGATCTGTAAAAGGGGAAAAGAACTTCTTGAAGTGAGTTTTGGCAAAAAAAAAAAAAAAAAAAGAAAACCAAGCTTAGGGGAGCTCATTGCCTTATTTAAACATGGTAGAAGGAAGTACTTTAAGGGAAACCACTATGCAAATCAATATCCCATAAAACAAGAAGGGAAGCTTTGGGGCCTAACCACTTTAAGCCTTCATGCCAATAAGCGCAAGAGAAGCAAACAAAAAGGGAAGTGGAACTGTACAAAGCGATCCTTACTGACTAAAATACGATAGTCGCGACCTTGGATTAGATCGAAGGTCCCGTCCTTATGTGCAACTCACACAATATCTTGACGTATTGGACTTCTCATAAAAAAAGCCGACAGATTCTGGTTATACCAATCCAACACTACTGAAGATCTTAAGCTTACTTATAGAAGAAGCTTATAACAACAGGATAAGAATTAACTTACAGAAAGAACAAATCCATAAATTTCACTGATTCTCCATATATAAAAGAAAAATGCAGCAACGGAATCTTTCAAAATGTCCCAACATTCTGAACAATGGCATGGGAGATGATCGATATACTTATTGACCAAAAACTAAGGCAGGTAGTGCTCTTTACAAGGTAAGTCGGCAGACAGCGGTTCTAAGTGAATTTATTCAAAGTTGAAATACGAGGCGATGAACTGAAGCAGAGAGAAAATTGCACAAGTTTCTCAACAAACCAGAAAGTGATAATCCACTAAAAAAGGGGGAAATGCTATCGCACAATATTTTGACTGACAGATACCTCAAGATGACCTATGTGGGCGACTGATTTTGTTACCATATAAAATAGGTTCGACTAAGCATAAAACCTGAAACGGCAAATCTAAATAGAATAAAGTACCGTGTAAGTAGGTGCACCATCTCCTGGAAAGATAAAGCCACCATCAATTCTTCTGATATCATAGAGAGAAATGCAAAGGCCCAAATTTGCAATAACCTTCATTATAAGAACGAGCAGCATCAGCCTTTAAAGTTATTTAATTGAAAATTACATAACACTAAACCAGAAAAAAATGAGAATACCCAGAACAAATGCACGCGCCAATACAAACCTTATCTAAGAAAAGGTTCTCAAGCTCATGTCTAACAGCTTTATCTTGGGATAGGCTGAGCAGATGGGGAGGTAACCGCAGCGTGTGCTCGATTAGACTAAGATAGAACATAATGCCCCTCCTATAAATTGTATACTCCGAGCTGCAAATCAATTGAAAAAGGGAAAAAGCTATCAGTACTAGCTCACATATCAAAGCATAATTTCGTTGGAACCATATTCAAAAGCGGCAAACTGTTCTTGACAACTTGTCTGACAATAGCAACAGATTTAGAAAAACCACATGGTCATTCGACATCAGCCAATCCCTCCAAAACTGCGATAGGAATGGATAAGAACATGGTAAAAGATTGAACGTTTATCAAACAGGTGGTGTGATTGACACAATTGGCAAGCACCCGTAAGAAGCAAGCTCGTGGCAATGGATGTGGCACGAGGCATACTCGAACAACTGGTGAGAAGAATGTGTAGAGATGATGATACTCAAAGGCGAGAAGGACCGAAAGACTTTCGCCACGGTAGAAACCGAAAAGAAACCACCGACAGGCTAACACGGAGTCAGAGAGAGACAGAGACAGAGAGCGAGAGAGACGGGGTACCTGGAGGGGAGAACAGCGAGCGGCACCGCGAGCGGCGGAGTGCTGCGTACGACGGCGACGGCGACGGCGACGGCGAGACGCCGCGGCGATAAAAGAGAGAGAGAGTGAGAGCGGCGGCTTAGAGAGTCACGGGCGAGAGATGGGAGAGGGTGAGGTGAAGATGACTTCCGGCACTGCGAGTGGCGGAGTGCTGCTCACGACGGCGACGGCGACGGCGGACGCGGCGGCGATACGAGAGAGAGGGCCGGCAGGCCTGCGGCTGAGAGAGTAACGAGCGAGACGAGAGAGGGGAAAAGAGAGACCGAAGAAACTGAAGACTAGCGTGTGTTAACTTTGGTCCGATTTATTTTTCTAAACATTATTTTCGTATCGCTTACTAAAATAAACGAATTAAAAAAAAATTCATCGATATAAAAATATTCAGATATAAATTGACGTCGATAATGAAATATTTTTCATTGACTGATTATTTCAATCAACACAAGTGATTATTTTTAGGAACATGTTTTACAAAATATATATTTTTCACGAAATAAACGTAACATTCCTTTGTCTCCATTCACAAAAAACGGGAAAATTGTCTAAATAGTCATAAATTTACCGTCAGTTCAGTTTTAAACTTTTAATTTTATTTTAATTTAGTCCTTGACCTTTTGACGACTTGTCAATTTAGTCATTCAGGCCAATTTTAACCAAGTATCGCCAACGTCGATACCGGTCGTCCTATGTGACACAGTACTACCGACACAAAGTTAAACAATTTTTTTAATTTTGTTTTTAGTTTTATTTTCTTTCTTTTTTTCTTGTTTTCTATCTTTTACTGTTAAAGGCCAACGACCCACCCATCCCATTTACCAATACGCTGTATATAAATTCCCTGAGAACTCTAGCAACACAGATATGTGTGTCTTCGGTAACTACCCGCGTGTGTCACGGACCAAAGTTCGACACGTCATCAATCCAAGGGATTGCCACATCATCGATCCAAGAAGGTTCCTTAGAACCGTTAGATCAGCAAAAGGGGTTCGATCTCACCATCGAATTTGTGTGACAAAGATTGAAGCCCTCAACCGTTGGATGGTCTCTACCGTTAGATTAATGTGACGAGATCACTATCCTTCACTGTTAGATCAAGTGGATCTCTACTATCGGATCAATTTGACAAGGAACATCCTTTATCTTTAGATCGTATAGAAGATCAATGGTTATAATTAGAGGGACTTTTGTATAAATAGGGGAGCTTCCATCTCATTTGGATCATCCGCTTCTTTTGAACAATACAAGCATAATAGAGCTTTTCCTTGAGTGTGAGTGAGATTAAGGCTTACATAGACTCGATCAAGTGATTCAAAGATCTACGTTCGCGATCAAAAAAATCGTCTGGGACTATCACACCCGTGGGGATTATCATATGTTCAAAGAGTCCCGAACACCCATCACATAAAGAAACACTACAGATAAATATAATTGAAATCTTTTGTTCCTCGTGGGAAAAACAAAGGACGATACTTCTGTTTTCTTGGATTAATCTATCATACATTGGCAAAAATGGACCAGAGAGTGGATCTCTCTCTAATTTAGCAAATAAAATCAAGCACTCATTGGAAATTCAGAAAATTTCTCGGATCTCATTGCCGCAACAATCCTCGTCCCTCCATGACAGCGCGATCGCCTGCCAGTCGGATCTGGCAAGGTGTTCAACTTAAGGCTCAAGGAGTTTAATGATTCCGATGACAAAGTTGATAGATACGAAGTAAGTGAGGAGGAAATGATTCCGATGACGAAGCTGATACATACGAAGTAAGCGAGGAGGAAATGATTCCAATGTGATCTTATGATGCTGAAGAAGTGGCCCGTCCAAAAGCAAGTCTGAATCACATGCAGATATTAGATGTGGAGAGACACTCTGAGAGCGAGAAGCTGGCTTATTATTCGGACTTTGGCGAAGCCAACACTTCCACCGGAAATGAGGAAGTGGTGGATAGTTCAGCATCATGCGACGTATTCCATGACAATTTCTCCATGTTTCAATTGGACCATCTGATCACTTCTTCAGCATATTGGACAACATTTGCTCACTTCCGGTGGAATCGGAATCATCGGTTGGCTTCTCGCCCTGAGATGCTGAAGAAGTGGCCCCTACAAAAACAAGGCCTAGGAGAGTGAACTGCGTGCAGAAACGATATGTGGAGAGTGAGGATGATTTCCAACTTTGACTTAGATGCACCTTGCACCATCCACCAATCCCGGCATCGCAAGTGAAGATAATGTATTGAATCACTATGAGCAGAATCTTATTTTAATTTCATTAAATAATGGTAATTGTTGAATCACGATGAGCATAATCGTATTTTTATTTCATTTTGATTGAATAAAATCTTAAGACAAGCCACGTGTTTTTTCTTTTGGTCTAAAGACTAAGGTACATGATGATAATATCCACTCTATCTTAAGAAACAAAAATCCTCAAAAGTGAGTACAATTTTGTAATCCATGCAGAACTAACTTCCTCCTGCATTTCTCAATGCATTTAAACTTAATCGAACGTTGCCTATCGAGTACTTTAGATCCGGAAAATTTCTCGGACCTCATTTCCGCAACAATCCTCGTCCCTCCACCGCAGCGCGATCACCTGATCATTATTCCGCCGCTGGTCCCGACGAGTCCGGGGTCCCCTCCACCCCCACACCGTACGATGGAGCTGTACGGCGCGCCCGGCGAGGAGCCGCGGTCGGATCCCGGCACCGACACAGGCCTTCGAGTGACGCGCCTCATTCGGCTCTGCATTTCGGCGTTTTCGGTTTGGGAGTCGCGCGTTCTCGTCACGACGGTTTTATGGCGACGCTAGCCGGAATGCGAATCGTGAGTTCGGTCGGTTTTTGCGTGTTGTAGAGCATGTGTGACAGTTGGAATTGGGAGGTGCTACATCGTACCCGGAGAGGCCCGATGAGGCCGATTGCATCTACTATTTGTGGACAGGGTTTTGTGGGTACGGTGCGCATTGTCGTTTCATTCATCCGCCCGACCGTAGCGCGGTATTTTCTGCCTCCTTTGGTTTCCAATCCGATGATCATTTAATTGTTTGTTGGTTGGATGTTTGTTTGATCCTTTGATCTTGTTTTGGACTGGTGTGATCTTGTCGTTTTAGATTTAGTCAATTAGGTGTTGCAGTTTGATTTGGTAATAATATTTGAACAGTGAATGATGCTACTTTTGATAAACTTGTTGATTAAGGATCCCAAATTGTTTGGCATAGAGTAACTATGTTCAGAATAGACTGACGGTGAACTTTCTAGTTGCCATTTCTGGGCGGCAACTCAGATGTCATTCACCAAACAATGTAGATTTTGTACGCTCCTCAGGTGCTTGGGGCTGCGCGAACGGGTGCAGTTGAGTATCCGGAACGCTTGGGCCAGCCAGTATGCGAGGTAATAGATTTGGTCTTCTTTTTTTCCCGTGTAAGTATGCTCAGTGCCGGATGTGCTGGGGTATGCTCTGTGTTTTTCATAGGTAATGTACAACGAAGGTCTTTGTTCCTCTCTAACGGGTCCTGGTTTGGACATGTGATGCATTCTCTAAACTGCAGTACTACGAGGATGGGTACATGTAAATTTGGTGTGTCATGTAAAGTTCACCATCCTAAGCAGGGAATGGGTTCTGCTATCCCTGTCGCACTCAATTATTATGGCTACCCATTACGACTGGTTCGTATTAACATTAATTCAGAGTTTAACAAATAGATGCTTGTTATGTATCATTATCAGATTCGCTCCACATCTAATTATGAAAAATGAACTTTTGATGTCAGGGTGAGAAAGAGTGTTCCTATTATATAAAGACAGGGCAACGTAGGTTTGGTGCCGCGTGTAAATTTCACCAACCCGGCCAGCTGGAATCCAGGTTCCAACACCAGGAGCAGCACCACAGATTGCTCCGGTGGCTGCTCCAATGGTGGCATCTGCGTGTATCCTACTGCGCAATCGCCTGCTGTTCATTCATCTCACCAGTACGGTGTTGTAGTTGCAAGGTCTCCTGTATTGTCATTATATGGCCCCTAAGGTTCTGTTTTGCTTTCCCCCAGCATGGTTCCTTGTCATGGTTGGAGTCCTTATTTAGTAGGTGAATCAAAGTTCACTATTTCCAGCTTCATTCATGTCTTTAATTGTATGTCTTCCTCAGGCAACGGTTGGTCCGGCGGCCTCTCCAAGTACTCAACCTTCTACGGGGTCGAGTTCAGTGTATGGAGTAACCCAACTATCTCCACCAGTGTCAGGTTTCCCTGGACAATAGCAACCTTTACTTCCCTTTTTCGGTGCTTCAAGTGGTAACCAAAAAGAACAGTCATTTCCAGAGAGGCCTGGCCAACCTGAGTGTCAATATTACATGAAAACAGGATATTGTAAATATGGATCTTCGTGTAGATACCATCAACCGCCAGATCTGATATCTCAAGAAGCAAGTGTTTTGCTTAGCCCCATTGGCTTGCCATTGCGTCCAGTAACGATCTTTCCCTTGACCTTTAGTTTGCTTGAATAAGTTACTGGTTTTATAGAAACTCTTTGCTGGTTTTAAGTTCTTGGGCCAATCCTGCTCTGTCTACTTTAAAAGTACACATTAAGAATGGGATTAAGCTGGCCTTTGATGCAGGGATTAATCAGTGTTACCTACTTTCTATCTTCCTGACATGTTATTGGGAGAATCTTCACAATGCTTGACTAGGAATTGAAAATAATTCTCTACGATGTTGCCTTCAATGCTTGGTGATCCAACTTCAACTTTTATGGTTGCGAAGAGAGGAAATTGCGGACTCAGTTGAGATGCCGATCCTGGGGGGATGCATATATCTGACAACTTAGAGATTGAGTATAGAGACCATAATCTTTCTGGCATACTACTTGAGATGCTTATTTTCATGACCACCAAAAAGATGTCTTTGAGCAATGTTCTGCTGGTTACAGGACTTGATATATTCATGGACAGCAAGCTCCAAACTGCAATCTTCAGGATTTAACGGTTTTAAAGTTCAGCCCGTGATGTGATCTACGGAGTCTTCCCTACCAATGTCCATAATTTAACTTGTAATACCCACATGGATTTTCTACTTCCAA